TAATTAAAAAAATTTTATTATTAATTAATTATTTAGTTAAAAAAACTTTATTAAACATTAATTTCCATTTCATAATTCAATTTTTTTTTTCTAATCTCAAGAAAAAAAAAAGGAAAAATTAGTGATTATATAGGTAAAACTAAAATATATGTCAAATATATAATATATATACAATATTTAATATTCATAATTTCATAAAGGTATTAATCTTTATTAAAAGAAAAGACACGAAGAATCAGAGTTCAAAAGAAAAATCCAATATATATATTAATATATAGTGCTTATTCAATATTTATAAAAGTATTATACAAAAAATACAGTTCTATTCAATATTTAGGAGGGCATTATATTAAAAATATAACCCTATTCAATATTAAAATTTAAAAGGTAAATCCAAAATATGTCTAACCAAATACAAGAAGAAATTGGATCGGAGTTGATTTTTATTAATTAAGAACAAATTAGCAACTAAGAACGGACCTTGATGGTTTTGTTATTCTTGTTTTTATACTTTTAATGGTACCTCAACAACTGGGTTTTGATTTTTAGTATGCATTCTTGCTTTTTATTTTAAAAAATGATATTTTTTACGACATCATATAACATAATTTACTATGTGTCACATAATTTAATTTTTTACGTAAGTGCCACCAAAGAGAAGGATTAGAGAGCTTGAGATGAAAAAGGGGAGAGCGAGAGTGGAGAAGAGGAAAAGTTGAGAGAAAGTGAAATTGATAATAGGTTGGAGTTTGAGTATTTTATTTACTTCTACTTTTACGATTAGAAAATTAGAAATTTAACATTAATTTTTAAGTAATCTAATAAAAATGAATAAAAAAAAGTTCAGGTCATTTCGAGTGACTCGACCCACTCATGATCCAATCCATTTGGATTCAAATAATTTCAATTCGGGTTATTTCAAATTTCAGATTAACATATAGAACCTATGATCCTATCCATAACAGATGAGTTGAATTGGATTTTTGAATTGAGTCCAATTTTACCAAGTCTATCCTTATTGGAGGAAACTTATGGTATATATATATATATATATATATATTTTACAAGGGTAATGATTAGGAAGTTAGTATGA